AAAAGCGAGGAAATGATAAAGTTTACAATTCTGTCGTTGAGCAGCCACGAAATGGAAAAAAATGACCCTGCTGTGCTCATTCTTGTGTCATGATAACGCTTGAACTCTTCCTACAAGCAGCAGTCAGATGTGATCTCTCATACCCGATTACCAAAAAAATGGTGATATGGCCACATGGTTTGAGAAAACAAAATTCTACAACAAATGGAGATGAAAAATTTTATTACAAGATATGATTTGTTCATTACATCACATGCACATAGAGGCTAAAGATAATGCTCACTTTTGTAGTGAATATATGGGAACGCAAGAAAATTTTGAGCATACAAATGGCAAAACAAAATATGTTCGATATGAACAGCTTCTTTGGAATCACAGTGCAAAAATCAACAATCACAACAATCATCAGTTGTTTCTTCATCAGTCATAAGATGTTGTTAGTGTTACCCAGTAATTAACTATCACAGAATCTGATTAGTTACTTACAGCAAAAAAATCACTCCTTAACAGAAGAGTTACGCTGTTTTGTTCGCTCTAGCATTTTCTCTAAGATTTCATAAATTATCACAGGTTTCTGGAAATCGTTATCTACAACGTTCATGAGACAGAAATCGTCATGGATTTTTTGTATAACATTCCTAGAGAGGGAATCCTTTGGGTAGAGATTAGCCCTGAAAAAGAAAATCACAACATCTAGAAGCACCATTCGGTAGTATTCGCTTACCAGTTTTTGATCCAAGTATCATAGGCTTCATCTTTCCAAGCGCGGAATGCTAATGGATCTACGACGGTAGGCTGTGCAATCTCAGCTCCCGGGAAAACTCCCCATGTGACAGCGATGGGAGTAGTGGGTTCACCGTTCATATGATCAAACGTGCCCTTTAAAACGTACAATTACGAAAAATGTTATCGCAAACGCGAAGCATAAAAAGAGTAACGGGAATGATTTCGATCAATAACTGGAATTCGAGTACGCTCAGGCATACAGAAGATTAATCAGAGACTCACATCATGGTTTATTATGTGGTAATTGATCCGTGGGTAGTATTGGTCCACAATTTCAAGCAGTGAAATAGCATCTTCTTTGCTGATGAAGCATTCGAGATATGCCTGAAAATACTCCATCTCAGTTGGCAATTATGCAAGAAAAAAATAATATTGAATGAATAAACTAATAGATAAAAATGATAACAAATGAATGAATGAAAATTTATATAAGTCATGAGGAGCCGTCCATTTGGTGATGCATACTAATAAGTGTCGCGCCCATTTCAACACCTAATTAGGATATGGC